AATCTCCATGTGTGAAATTAAACTGTGAAAACAATATAAAAAAACCCTCAAATTCATTGTGCTGGAGCTCATAGCAGGTCCTCTGCTAGACAAATCCCTTATGAAAAAAGACTGTCCAACTTTCTCACACCATACAAAGTCACTAGTACCTTTAAACCACCAAAGAGTCGTGGCCTTTGGGTTAGCAGTTAAACTCCCTTTAGACTATTCAACCAAAAGAAAAGAAATCAGGATTTACAGCAAATATTTTTAAGGGACACAACTCAATTCCTATCACAACCCTCACATACTTAAAATACCAATAAACTAAACATAAGATGAACAAATGATTTTATGTGGCTATAATGTCAGACATGCCGCCAAATGTTAAAATCTGTTAAGAAAAGTAACATTGATCTTGAGAGTACAGGCTGTGTATTTTCCACCTCTGAACCCTCAAAACTTACTGATGTGTACTGTTGATTCGGAACTGACCCACAGCTGACCCTCAAGCTGGTGTTCTGAGGTAGTAATTCACACCTGTTGTTATGTACCATTACGTGGATTGTGACTCATAGCAACTCAATGACTGGTTCTAAAATTTGCCCTATCTTGAGTCAACCTCACCGCCTGACATACTTGACCACACTGCCAGTCACTGTCAGTCCACTTCATCACTCCTGTGCTGACCTTCCACCCTTCCAAGCCTGATGTCTTTCTCCAAGGACTGGCCCCTCCTGACAACAGAACCTATTAGTATACAACAGACAGTGAAATGGTATCACAGTAATACCCTTACCTGGGAAAGGTCTGGTATATCACCTCTGTCAATTCCAACTTGCTGTAAGAAGAAACAGTATTGTATTTAACAGCTAATTATAATTGAAATATTTTATAAATAAAATTTAGGAAGAATACATTTATGGTCAGTACTGTGAATATTTTAGACTGACTTTTTAAAAATCAGAATTAAATATAGAAAGGTATCATTCAGTACTTCCAATGATTTCAGATGCTGCTTCATGGCTCTAAAAGTTGTAGCAGGAACGGAACTATATAGTTAGTACTTCAGCAAGACTATTATACTATCATTATCAAGCCTTCTGAGTATCTTTATGAAAATCATCAAGTTAAAACTTAAAAAAATTTCCTATTTAATTGGGTAGTTTAGAGGTTCTTACAAAAATGCCAAATAGTATCTAACCAAGATATACCATTTAATACACAAACCAGTCCCAATACTTTCATGGTATTAGGCCAAGCAATTTCAAAAACAAAAAAATGTTTACTATTTTAGTACCCAAATTAGAAAGTTGTTTTCTTTTTCATGGCTATATTTGATTTACTAATAATTTTCTTTACCTTTTCCCTAGTTCTCAGGGTCCAGTTCCAGAATGACCAGTAAAAGTAAAAAAGTAATTCATACTACGATGTCAATGGGTGATTACTGTCTAATACATCAGTTAAGTGCATCTTTATGTTTAGTCAAGCTAAAAACACGGAAAAGCAAGTCAGAATCAATATTCACTTAAAGATAGATTACCTCTGCAACTTTGAGAAATTCTGAGATTCTTGTCATCCTAGTCAAGAACTTCTTATATATGTCAAGACCTTCTTTGCACTGGTTCTTTTTCATATCAAAATATTTTTCTGACAAAAACAGATTTAAAAATACTTTTACTTAAAACAAAAAAATATTCAAAATTTCTTTCATTCATAGAAAATACTTTTATTCATACTCTACACAAAATATTCAGAGGGAAAAAATCAATAGTTCCTTAGAGATCATGCTCAAAAAGAATAATATAGCAAATTACAATAATTATAAACACTGTATTAAAAGTAGAAAAACTTTATTCACCTTCATTTGCTCCATAATATTTCTCCCTTTACAGTTCTTCAAGTATTTATATGTAAGCATGTATCTCACTTCACTCTATTTAAAACAGCACTAATGTCTATTTCCAATGCTCTTTTCCTGATGATATTTTAACAGTTTTATCATAAAGAAAAATTACTTGGAAAACTTACATAAATTTATAAAAAGTAGTAAAGACAAAATAAAGTATCATACTAATTATAAGGTGGACAATTATGCCTTTCAGAGTACTGTAGAAAGCTTCATTTTTCCAGTGAGGAAAAAATATGCCCAATAATTAAAGTTAAAATAAAATATTAACTAAAGTTAAATTAAAATATTTTCATGAATGTACAGGCATCCTGAAATAGGCCTGTGATAACTCAACCTATAATAAAAACAATATTAAATAAATCAATGAAGAACCGGAAGAAAGAAGGTATGAATGAGTAGTGGTGAATAAACATACTCGACACTTTTAATATTTTGACAACTTTAACAGCTACATCACCACCCCATCCAAATTCCACTGAAATAAATGAGCATACAGTCTTGGCAAAAGTGATTAAGTTAATGTCCTGTGATATCAAATACATAATACCACAAACTCCTAAAAGGCCTCATAAGAAAAAGATAACCTCTTAAAATAAGGTGGTTTTTTCCCCCTCCCCTCCCAATCCTTCCCCCTTAAAATAAGTTTTTAATGAATTTAGAATATTGCTGTTTTCTAGTGCCCGCAAGTTGGAATTGACTGATAGCTGACCTTCCAAGGAGCATCTACAGGCAGTAAATCATAGAGAAGGAGACTGTCCTTTCTCTCATGGAGCACCTACTACATTCGAACCATGTGCCCTTGGGTTGGTAGCACCAACTCATTAACATTCAGGTCACTAGAGTTCCCTGAGGATCTTAAGGGTAATTGTTTTAAAAATTAAAATACATTTTAAAAAAATCAGTTTTATTAGAAAAGTTCCCCACAGAGTCAATTAAGAAGATAGAACATTTAAATTTTAAATGTAAGTTTTAAAAATTGAAAAACTTATTTAAGGGAGTTTTAGATTCTTAATTACTAATAAAAATTATAGAAAACATGAATTTAAAAAATACTCATGTAGCTGAACATTCTGTTGTTAAAAGTAAGTACTAAAACATTTTGTATTTTTTTCCTCCAAATAAATTGTAAAATGCGTTGATAAATAAGTCTCAATGATTTATTGTTTTAGGTACCTCTAAGTAGCAATTAATATTACTTATCCATTTAAAAGATAGTAAGAAATAAAATGTTATTAAGTTTTAGCAGTATTTACCCAAAAGGTTAATAATTCCTTCATTGTATGCTGCAAATAGTCGAATGGCATCTTTGAACAGGAGCATGAAGGCAGCGTTTATTACCCCATTTGTAAGTTCATTGCTATTTACCTAAGAATGATAAAGGAAAATAGGAATAATCTTATGAGTCTTAACTGACTCATAAGCAACTGACAAAAATATTTCTTCTTCACATTAAAATACAGTAAGTTCAATATTTAGGCATATCAAAGAAAAAGCCATTTATAGTCAAATAGCACAAAAATGTTGGTAAAATGGACTCAAATTTACTTAACACAGTGACAAGTAAAAAGTCTACAATATTCTTCAATTTAGCTCAGAAATGAGGCGGTGTTCAAAAGCAATTTAATGTACTTAAGGCTTTCAATTTCTAAGCTACATTTGGTATTTCCAAAACTTTTTTCATTAGAAGTTCATTTCAGCTTTTGTATTTCTTAAAAATACTTCAAAATAAAGTCCATACTATATGGAAGCTTCTCTTCCATGAAAGGTTTACCGAGTACCTTTTAAAATCAATAAGTATATATTAATTGTGCGTTGTAATTGCAAGGATGGCACAGGCTCAGGCAGGGTTTTGTTCTGCTGTGCATGGGCCCTCATGAGTTGAAGCTGTCTTAAGAGCAGGTAAGGGTAACAACAAAACCAGGAAGGCACTGGCTAAGCTGGATAAAAAGAAATTAAAAAAAAAAAATATATATACAACAACCACCTTAAAAACTGTAACCATGCTATTATTTCCACCTCATACGGTTACTCTAAAAATTAAATGACATGTACAAAAGTCCTAAGGGGGAAAAGAAGGGGACAAGAACTGAGGATAGGAATGGAGAAGAAATCACAGGGTTTTAAAGGGGGTGAGGAATTAGGAAAGACCCAGTGGAAACCTGAAAGGACAGGATAATCATGGCCATTGACCAATGGTAATTAATTTTATAAAACACAACACATGGAAACATAATATAAAGTATGAAACATTATGTGAATGAAGGAAGGTGTGAAACACTGCCTAGGAATGAAACTCAAATGCATACAAGCTTTGTATGCAAATTCAAAATTTTTCAAAAATTTTAAAATAAATTTTGCATAGCAAATTGGACTGGGGGCAGGGAGGAAACTGTAACAATGAAAGAATCTTTTTAGAGAAAAAAGCAAACTAGTTGAAGGGTTAGGAGGAAAATGTGCAAAAATGAATGAATGGAAATCCAAGTTTTCTGCAACTGTTGTTAAAATATCAATAAAAAAATTCTGAAAAAGGAAATGAGTATAGTATAGTAACTATCATGTAAATAATCAGTATTATCATCATCATTATTGATATTAAATTACAGTGAAAAGTACCTATGCAAAACCAAGAACCAATAGCATTCTCAATGAAGCCCCGATTAAAATAAGCTTGGAAGCAGGAGTGAAATCCACTTCTGGAATAGCTTGCCTCCGGAAACTCTATGAACTTGGAGAAACAATGAAAGTTATACAAGTGTTCAGGTCGTTCATTCATAGGGTTGCTGAACCTACGACTCGAGAGCACTTAACAACAACATAAAGAGAGCTCAGTTGGCCTAATGGACAGAAAGCGATGCTGCCAAACCAAAGGTGGGTGATTTTTAATCTGCAGCCCTCAGGCCTAGTTTAAATTCTTTTCGGTCAAACATTCTTCTAACTGGTACAGCACTGGTATATTTGTTGTACAGAGGTAACTTGTGCCATAATGCTGAATGCTGCGACACGGATGTGCCAAATGCAATAATAATTACCCATGGTGGACAGAGTTTGGTGGAGCTCCCAATTAAAACAAGCTTGGAAGCAGGAGTGAAAATCAGAGAAAGACTTCAAAAAGGAAGACATTTGAAGGCCAAGAGACACATGAAAATGATCAAAATCACTGGCAATAAGAGATGCAAATCAAAACCTCAATAAGATACCTTCTCACCCAAGCTGTTGTTGTTGCTGTGTACCACACAGTCAGAACCAACTCACAGTGGTTTTTCAGAAGCAGTTAATCACACAGAAGGAGACAGCCCATCCTTCTCAAAGGAGCAGCTGGTGATCTCAAACTGCATGCCTTCAGGATGGCAGCACAACTTCTTGCCACTAGGTCACCAGAACTTCTTAGTAGCAGTGACAAAGTTCAGCAGGGTAGCAAGCAATAAATGTTGGTGAGGTCAATCCCACTGTTGGTGGGATTGTAAAATAGTACAACCACTCTGGAATGCAATCTGGCATTTCTTCAAAAAGCTGAACAGAGAAATTCCCTAAGACCCAGCTATTCCACTACTAGGAATATACCCCAAGGAAATTAGAACTGAGACCCAAATGGGGTCTCAGTACATCAATGTTCATAAGTGGCATTATTCACCAGCGAAAGAACATGGAAACAGCACAGTGTCCAGTCACAACTGAATGGATTGAGAAACTGTGGTACATTCACTCAGGAGCAATGATTAGAAAAATACTACATAACTTGGAAGAGACAGGAGAACATTATGCTCAGTGAACTAACTCAGTCTCATATGGACAAATAGTGCATATGATAATTACTGTAGAAGGGTAAATAGTAAAACATTTATGGGGACCCAAGGAGGCAAAAGGTAGGAGCAAAGGGGGGAGGGTGCTACAGGCAAAACCACAAGGTTGCACAATTTGATGGGTGGAGGGAGGGGTTAAAGGAAATGAGAAAGACCCAGTGGGAACCTGAAAAGACAGGGTAATAATGGATCTAGTCCAATAGTGATGGATTTTATAAAACATAATGCATGAGAATGATTGTATAAAACACAATGTGAATGAATAATAATGTGAAAGACAATGTATATAAACTTTGTAAGCAAACCAAAATAATTTTAAGAGAAAAAGAATTATATTGTTAAAAATAGCACTTATCTATCAATAAGATTGGAAGTATCTTCAACTTTATCTCACTAATGAATCAAAATGATAAAATTAAATTATTTTTTAAAAAACAAAGAGATTATACACATGACAACAATCTATTACAAGGGGTGCAATGCTGCGTTGGGTGGAGGAGGAGGAAGGGGAAGTATGTGTAACAAGAAAAAAATATAAACAAAGTTAGCTGAAGGAGGAAAATGTTCAACAATGAATGAATGAATGAGAATCCAACTTTCTGTAAACTTGTGTTAAAATCACAATAAACTTAGGTTTTAAAAAATGTCTGAAGAATAACTAGTTAAAAAAAAGAAAATTAACTTATTAGATAAAGTGGAATTTTTTTCCACTTAACATTTGCAAACATCTTTACAGAATTACCCATTCTTTTCAACTATATTGTAGTTCAATGTATGTAACAGTTTATCTAATTCCCCCTAACAACGGTATTTAAAGCTTTTTCAATAATAGTTAGCATTGGTGGTATAGTGGTGAACACAGCCAACTTCTAATTATTTTATCACAAGCAGTGCTACAGTAAATGCTGTGCACATGGGTGTTTGTGTACATATTTCTAAATCCCTTTCAAATGATACGCTTCATTGATGTTGTAAGTTTCCATAGAAGTTGATACAGATCAGGGCTTTAAAATTGTTTGAACCAGTCATAGCCTATAAAATGAAAGGAGTACAGACCCACATTTTCATAATTTGAGTATAAGGGAATGACAACCAGAAAAACTGTGCAATCTGTTATGTCTTTTAGAATAGTGGTTGGCAAACATTTTTTGTTTAGTTAGTAAATGAGCTCTGGATGCCATTTTTGTTTGTTACAGCTACTGAACTTAGTAGCACAAGAACAGTCAAAATATACAAACCAACATTCAAGAAAAACTATTGATGGACATTGAAAATGGCATTTCATGAAATTACCATGTCACAAAATACTCCTTTTTAATTTTTTTCAACAAATAAAATGCACAGGCCATAGTTCTCATAGGTCATACAAAAACGGACTTAATTTTTGTTCTATACTATGAAGTAATTATAGGATACATTTACTTAATTTTTACAGAACACTTTACGTCGCACACTATTAGGCACTATGTATACATAAAAAGCAAAGTACACGGTTTTATTTATAAAGAAAGATTACCAATAAATAGCATAAGTCATAAGAAAACACAATTTCAAAAAGATACTGTGTTTTTTAATTTATTATCTTGCACTTACAAGTTCTAAAATAAAGTGTCTCAATATAGTTACCAAAAGAAAATAAAGAATAGATGTGAAAATTACAACATTTAATATATTACAAGCAAATGCTAAAGCTGAAAATTCCCCCAAAAAGACTAGATTAGGCAATAGCTACTGTAGGTGGAAGGTGGCCAAATGGGAATTACTACCATCCTTTCTACTTTGTGGATGTTTAAAATTTTGCATAATAAAACTTTTTTATTTTTTTAAAAAGAAAAACACAAATGAAAAATAAACAAACTAAATTTTAAAAAAATCAAGAAAAGAAAAAGAAAAAAACTCCAGGTAATACATGCCTTTGGGCAATAAGGTATATAACTGTAACAAGTTATTGTAGGGGATATATTTAAACTTCCTTTTATTTCTAAAATTATTACCTCATTTTAAAATATTTACTGTAATAAAAGCATTTGTACAATTAACTTACATTAAAATCAAGAAGGGCATCCATTTGATTTTGAATAATTGGTACGGTTTTTAGCAGTTTTTCTGTGTTCATTGTTCTCATAACTCCATCAGCCCTGTTTAAAATTAATAAACAACAAGTTTAGAACTCCCATCTGGTTCTCTGTTTAAACAGAATCAAGTTGCTATGAAATGTTACATAATTTTACAAGTCACTATAGGACCTGAAAGTACAAGCAGAAAAACAAACAGAAAGCAATATATATCCAACTTCAAATGCTCATTTAAAACTAAAAGGAATATTGACAGGAAAATATAAAACATGAGATGTAAGAGTAAAAGCTCACATTGTACAGCTAAGTCTACTTACAGTCATGTACATTCAATGGGAAAGAAAGAGTAGTCTTGTCAATAAATAGTATGAGGACAAATAAACGTCTACATCCCAAAAAATTGTTTTAGCAAACTTTTTTATACCATATAAAAAAATTAATTCCAAATTAATCGAAGCTATAAATATAAATTAAGACTGTATAATGCTTAAAAGAAAACAAAGGAACAAATCTTAGCAACCCTGGATTAAGTAAGACTTGACACTCAAAAGCACAAGCACCTAAAGAAAATATAAAATGGATTTCATAAAAATGAAAATCTTTCAAAAAAAATGAAAAATCTTTGATAAATTATCAAGAAAGCAAAAAGACAAACCACAGAGAATAAGGAGAAGATATTTTCAAATAAAGTAGTTGATAAGGACTGAATAAAGAATAAAACAATAAAAATCCTTCTCAACTAAAAACAACAAAAAATTTTAAAGGGAAAAAAATCTGAACAGGTATTTTTTAAAAAGAAATTATTTAAGCACCCAATAAGCATAAATAAAACATGGAGAATAACAAAAGTTAGTATGTATTTAGGGAGCTCTGGTGGCCGAGTGGCAAGAAGCTGCACTGCAATCTCACAGGCATGTGATACACGGCTACCAGCTGCTCCACAAGAGAAGGATGGACAATCTCCTCCAATGCAAGTAACTGTCTCAGAAAACCCGCTGGAGGGTCAACTACAGGTTGGTTCCGACTCTACAGTACACAACAACAACTGCATCTATTTAGAATTACAATTTAGAATTAAATTAGAATGTCCATACATTCCTGATAGGAACATAAAATAATTGAGCTGCTGTGTAAAACAAGTGGCAGTTTCTCATGAAGTCAAACATAAGACTTACCACAGAATTCAGTAATTCTACTTCTAGGTATAAATCCAAGGGAATTTGAAAAATGTATCTATCCACAGAAGAATTTGTACATGAAGCTTTATGAATATTATTCATAACAGGCCAAATGGGGGGGGGAAGTCTCTGTCTAACTGATGACCTGATACAATGTGGCACAGATCATACAAAACCCTACCATTCCAATTGTGTCTCCTCTAATCAGAGCAACCCTAGACATACAGAACAGAGTAGAACTGCTTCCCTTCCACAGGGTTTCCAAGGCTATCATCTTTACTGAAGCAGACTGCCACATCTTTCTCCAACAGCTGGAGGATTTGAACTTCTAGCATTTGCATTAGCAGCTGAACACTTAATCACTGTGTCATCAGAGATCCTTCATAGTCATACAATAGAATTCTTTTTCAGCTAAAAAGAAAAAATTCATACTACTAAAGAATGAACCCTAAATATATTATGCTAAGTCAAAAAACTCTAGATATAAAAGATGACTTATTATATGATTTTAGTTATATGAAAATGACCACAATATATAAATCCACAGAGAATGAAAACAGATTAGTGGCTGCCAGTGTCTCAGAGGAGAGAATGGGAAGTGATTACTAATGGGCATAAGGGGTCCCTTTTTAAAGGATTACAGAATGTTCACATAACAACAACAACAACAATTTGCTTTCTCATTAAATCCCTTTTTAAAACTTTTTCAGTTATCTCATTTCAATATATGAATATAATTTTATGATTGCAAGCAAATTAAAAACAAAATAAAACTGCTCATAATAACACCCTAAACTATGAAATACATTTTCCAGGTACTCAGGAGCAACAGTGTCTCTCTGGAGACTAAGGTGCGCCTGATACAGGCCATGGTATTTGCAATCGCTTGTTATGCATCAGGGAGTTGGAC